GCTGTTTTGGTCGAGTTCCAGCACGCCTGTCGTTTCTTTTTCTAGTCAACTAGCGCCAATCAGAAAGACCAAGAAAAGCTAAGTTCCTCTCCACCTAGTCTTTCAAAACTTTGTGTGTGCTTTTATTGAAAAATTGTAACCGTAAATTTAAGAAGCTCAATTTGTAACAGCACACAATTTAATTGAGGGAAACTAATTAATAAAACTTAATTTTGAGTCGTAGATTAGGATTCTGTATTCTGTTTTCTAGATCAGGTAATTTTTACACAACATTTTCATTTCTATAGAAAAAATCTAATTTTAACAAGGAAAAGCAAAAAAAATTAGTTTTTTAAATTTTTTTTGTTTCTTCTTTTACAAAGAAATCAAGATACTAACGAAGAAAATCGATCGATAAATAAAAAAGTTGTGAATGGCGAAATGAAAATGGATGATAATTTTTTTTTATGAAATATGAGCAGGAAAGAATGTTACTCATACGCCATGCACAATTATCTTATTACATTAAACGATCAATTCTTATATATAATATATATATATATATATATATATATATATGTTACGTGTGCTTTTTTATTTCCTTAGGGGCTCATATTTAGCTCTATGATTTAATAAAAAAAAAGAAAAACAAAAATCGAACCGCATGCTCCTTAAATGTATGGAATCAAAAGGAGTTATGTGGAAGTTGATTTTTTCTTTTATTACTGAGAAAAAAATAAACCATATCCTCTTTGTTTCTAGCTAAAACACATATGATTTGGCGCCAAACGACCTTTTGTTAACTTTAAACAGATTTATTTTTGGAGCTTTTTTCGTTTGAATATGATTTCGTTCTGCACTTCACAGATTCTTTCTCGTATAATTAATAAAAACCGGAAAATAATAAAAGTAAACAATTTTTAATCGCTAAAATGGAAAAACTAAAAATGACTCTGCTTGGAAAAAATCATGCTACTTCTTCCTTAGTGTAGGTTTTAAAATTTATCTTTAAACACAAATTTTGTTCTGAAAAAAAGGCGAAATAAATTTCAAACCCTACCTGAGAAAACGGCTCTTAAACTTTGCGCTGATGAAAAGCTACTTAAATATGAAGATTTTCTAACTTGCTCTAACAGTGCATTCATGTGTATTACATACACTGACGAAAAAAAATATTAAAATCAATCAGAAACGTAACTGACCTTACTATAAACGCCAACGAAAGTACTCTATATTGGTAAATATTCAATTCAATTACGCGCATATTAAAATGACCGCGTTCGTTCTGAAAAAGCATCCGTAAAGTGTATAATCAAGATAAAAACAAAAAAAAGGTATTCAATTTTCACGTTGCCTGCAGCGGAATTTGAGCCCTGACTCTCTCTGGATATCAACAATTTGTGGCAAGCATCTTTGTGCACTCATCAGCATCAACACCACAGGCACACGATTTGTACGGATCCGTAAGTTTATCGATAAACTTGTACTATGTATGCATGTGTGTGTTGTTACCGCTCGGCATGCTTGGGATCAGTGATCGGACTTTCAAAAATTTTGTGTGGTAGAATCTGGGGAAAATGTGGTCGATCTCTGGATTTGGATCAAACTTTGTAGAAAACTTAAAAAAATTTTGCAAGCTTTCACCTAAAAGACAAACTTTTTAATTAGACTCTAAGAAAATTTAATTTTAGTATAATAAAGTGTAACATTGAAGTTGCGTTGAGTTTTGGCAGTTCCTTCCATATTTAGATATTTTTGAACACATTTTTAAGAGATTTCTGCAACCTTGCGGAGTACTGCCAGCTTTTCATTTTATCACATCACGAAGTAGCGAACAAATGTGGCACGTTCCAGAAACAGCTAATTGGGATTTGCCGATTTTGACAATTCTCAAGCAAATGTAAACAACGCCTCAGAAACCTTATATGCACTTAAATTTACTAATACTTTCACAAAAATCGCCGGTTTTTAACATTTACGCTATTAATTCTTTTTATAAATCATATATTTTGCAATTTAACACAATAAAATGGCGTTTCCTGTCGAAATATTTATTACTGAGAAAATTTACTATTTTACAATTTATTTTATCCTCCCATTCAGCTTTGTTTAGTTTTACTTAAGAAATTTCGTCGTCGCCGGGAATGCAGAATCTTGAATTACATCATTCTTGTTACCATATCGTGTAAAATTAAGAAAATTATATCAAGCAAAAATAAAACTACTCAAAAACGCGAATATGTGGTAGATTTCAGACCTTGAGTGGTAGATGTGGTAGATGCTTAAATAAGTGGCAGATCTACCACAATGTGATAGAAGTCCGATCACTGGTTGGGATGCGTATTACCAGGGATGAAAAATGGAAATTTCAGATTGTACCTAATATCATAAAATAAAGGCACCTAAATGAGACAGATTGTACCTAAAAAAAGTTATATCATTCGTACGCAGTTTTTTAATAATATTTTTTATAGTATGAATACAACAGGCGGATGTACATTAAACTAGTCTAATAGGAATCGGAGAAGCTTCGTTTTTGCCTAATTTTGACCACTGAAAAATATTGGCGAAATAGACCAAAAATACACTTTGCGAAGTTTACTTTTTTCCAGCTTTTTATGAAACAACAGGAAAGTCTGCTAATTTATCCGATTCCCTTAATTAGCTGCAGCAAGTCTAGAGAATATAATGGTAATTACCGTTAGTATATTCGAAAGCAGTTTAAATATATTCCAGAAATCAAATAGCGATTATTATTATTATTATATCTGCCCCAGGTATCTTAAATGTGTACTTAAGCATAAATGCAGCAAAACAAAATATACTGTATAAAAAATATAACAAGAATTACGAATTTTAGGATAGCTAAGTAAAGTGTTAATTTTTCGTAGTGGTTGTTCTAAATACAATGTTAAATGTTTAAGAGAATACATAATATGCAAGAATGATAGAATACAAGATTGCGCCAATGAGAGAGAGGATTTTTGAGCGTAATTTTTGCGTGACGTCATCTTGGTGCAATTGCGAGAGAGAAATGCCAAAAGGCATATAAAAATACGTAAACAATGCAGATAAATTTTAATATTACATGCCCAATTTTGCAGGAATCAATAAATATACAAGGATTGATTAATTAGGAACACGTAGCAATAATTATGGACATGTAGCCCTTTAGGTAAGTACGATTTTTAGCACATGAACAAATGGATGTATTAACAGTGTTTGCAATTTCATGGAGACCAAAAGGAAGGTGTACTGCAAGTGAATTTTTGGACTCGCCATTGTAAAAAGCCATGCAGAGTGCATATTTAAATTTGTGGATATTGTCTTGTTTCATGAAAACCAAAAATTGTTCGATCGTTTGTGCGATATCGTCCACTCAATTCCAGTTTTGCTTCACGTTACAGTAACAGTAGCACGTAACAATAAAACAAATGCATGAATCAGTGTTTTGATAAATATTCTATGTACGTAAAACATAATTTAAGCTGAACTTTTAACTGTATAATAATTTGGGCACTGTTTTGTATTAGGTACGTAACAGCGCGGTAAGATGCCGCTTGAAATAGCGCCTCATACCAGCACTAAAAATATTATTTTCAATATCTTCACTAGTAAAGTGCTTCATGCACACATATCTCGATTTGGTGTTAAATGCATCTCCTCGCCGGCAGAACTGCTTCCACTATTTCGCCAGATTTGCGTCCGTAGGAAACCAAAAAAAACTTATATCGCACGCTTTCCTTTTGTTTTCACTATTACACTTTGCCACGGCACACTTAATTTTGCTTTGTAAGGTCTCAATAATTGTTTAAAACCACGCAGAATTATTAACGCACATACATATATTAAAATTGTTATTTGGTTTTTTCGTATGCTCACAATCAACAATTGCACCAAGATGACGCCACGCACACAGCTGATTCTGTCAAAATCACAAAGAGCGGATTAGCAGTACCGCGATTGGCCCAATCTCTATTTCTCTCAATCGTCCATAATATGATTTTGTTAATTTCTTCCTTTTGACCACTTTTCCCCACTTTTTCCCATACCGGCAAGTAGTTATAATATCACAGTAAAGGAAAAAAAAAAATAAGAATAGAAATTCATCTGATCAAAAGATGATTGTACCTAAAATCAAGTAAGTGCACCTAATGTACCTTTATGCCATGTTCGCATCGACATCGAAAACATGTTTTCCTTGCTATAACTGGTTTTCGGCCTAAAACTTGTGTTTTCGTCCATGTAAAATCTGTCAAACAAAAATCAGTTTTCACTGAAGACTACTTGAAACTCACGTTCTACTCATTCCAATCGGTGTCTTCACTAGTATTTTAGATAAATTTATAGAAGTGGAAATCATATTTTATCATCTTTAGTACGCTTTTTGGGATTTATTGTCAATTGGCTGGCCAAATTAAAATATGTACAAAAGAAGAAGGTTGCTAATGGTAAGGAAATGAAAGATTTTGATTTTGTTTTTTTCTTAGCAAAACTGTAATCAAACGATGAAAAAAATGCCAACGAAAACACTAACAGCCGGTGCGAACAGCTTTCAGCCCACAATCCCAAAACTCGTTTTCAAAGTGTTTTCGTTGTCGGTCCGAACATGCTGGTAGGTCAACAAACGTCGGCAAAAGGTACAATTGTACTTAGTTTTTCATCCCTGGTATGTACACTTACATATACATACTCAGATGTGAACAGTTAAATACGCGCGTAATAAATTTTTGTACGAAAATATTATTTTTAATACGAACATATTTAAACGCTAATCAAATATACATAAACTATTCATTTTTACTATGCGTTATTTCCCACAGTGTATAAATATGTAGATTTTCTTAGGTGGGAGAAGTACACTCGCACACTGTAATATACCCTAACTGAAAATTTTTACCACCATAAAAAAATCAATTAAAATTCGGGTGCCATAATAATGGCCACATTTACATTCACACATTCATATATCTATGTATACATAAATAAATGTAAATTGTGGTGTTGGGGTCGATGATTACCTTTTTACGCGACGCTGTTGAAGTTGTTCCTGAAATTGTTGTTTGGTGAGATGTACACCACCAGCTAAGGGCAAACGAGAGCGAGGGGGCGACTGACCACTCCGTGTGCCATTTAAAATCGCAGTTGCAGCCAAATTTCCATTTGTATTCGAAGTCGGATTTGCACTATTCAACGTTGGCCGTGTTGCCGCCTTATTGTCGGCGGCTATCGTTGTTGACGCTATGGAGCTGTCACGAGGTTTGGCCTTGCTAGCAACGGATGTGACGACATCGTTGCTGGCCAACACCACAGGATGTGAAGAATATGCATAGACGTGCGGTCTTAGAAACCATGGAATGGGTGGCTCTTTTGGGGGTGGCAAGAATACACCTGTCGGTACCGTTGTTATAAAGAGTGGACGTTTAATCACGTGGTCTTGCTGACTTGTCTATGTATGTATGTGCATGAAGTGAGAAAAAAGTAAGGGGTTTAGGAGAAAGGCACTGCTATAGAAATATACTAAGTATATTGCAAGCTTTCAGAATTTTCACATTTTGTATTAATCTGCTTAGGAAAGTATGTAATCGAATTGCGCGAAATTAGTATCAGTTTTTAATAAAAAGAAAAAAAAATATCCCGCGTACAGGGTTTAAGCTTAGTATCCAGCTCTTAAGAATAGCAAAAACTCCATATAAAATGACGTACAAGAAATGGCTAAGAAATTTTCTTGAGTCAAATTTCCTTAAGGCAGTACGCAGTTCTTCAGAAATTTAGTACGCTTTCTACTACGGTTTTCTAAAGTTTTTTGTGAAAAAAGAGCACAAGGCAACCCAGGTTTGCAACAGAAATATATGCCCGCTCCATTATTTCTTGAGGAAAGAGTGAGGCAACAGGCTGTGAGGTATAAAAATTGTCAAAATTCCTTGGACTCACACGCGAAATAATGGCAATTTTTTCTTGACCGTTTTCTTAAGAGCTGGATACTAAGCTTTAATTTGAAAACTCTGAATTTCTATTCGGTGTTAGTGATAAGTATTTGCATATATTATTTTCCTTAGCATTAATATTCTTGAATCGGTATATGTATGCATGTCTATCGCGCATTTGCTGGAAAAGGCCAAGTTTAAAATAAAATACATATATTCTTAAGTATGAAAGGGTCTTCACTTTTTTCTCTTAACTTCTTGACTACATAACTTTTCCAGTAATGCGCGTTTTACTACATATCTATTTAAAGCAAATAGGCCTACATTTGAAGATTGTCTGGACTTGGTCCACACATCTGGAGCTGTTGTTAAATGCAGACTACGTAGCTTCCGATTCAATTCCTCTCTCAACTTTTCAATCTCTTCGTCATTTGACCTTCCCGAGGGCAAATGCGTCATTTTGTTCGACATGGTGGAGGAAGAGAAACGATTCTTTTGACGATGAGATTGCTGTAGGGACCACAGCGTTTCTTCATCAATTGCAACATTCTGGCGAAAGGGCAGCGCCGAATCCCGCTGCTCGTAACGACGTATCGGGCGCACAATTGCGTTTGGCTTACAACTGTCAAATTGGCTGGACAGGTCGTCGTTGTTGAGTACGGTGAAGGATGCAATAGGCTTGTGTGGATATAGACTCGTATTTATCGGTTGAGGGCTGCCGAAACGACTATTAAGGCTGCTAACATGTGGCTGAGGTCGATAGGTGCTGGCGAAAGAGAAATTTTGGTTGCGGACTATTGAGCTGCTGTTTTTTAAGTCCGATTCTGCGACAATTGCAGGTGTCTCGTTGGCTGCATCAGTAACAAGGATGTTGTTGTTTTCGTTATTGGTTTCTGCGTTGGGAGTGGGGTGAATTTCGGCCTTAGGCGAGTTTGGAGGGAGGTGCTCTGGATTTGTGGCATTGGGTTGGGTGTCAAATTTCATAATTTTTGACAGCTCTTTACCACGTAGGTTTTAACACTTCGAGTAACTAACTTAGCACTATTTCAACATAATGAATAACGGGTAAACAACGCAGTTAAAATTTAATATTTATATTCGAGAAATTTAGCACAAATTCACGTAAAGTCCTTTGGTCACTTTAGCTGCGTCAGTAAATCGATACTCGAACTTTTGCTTTGTTAAACGAGTAATACAATTTTAGCAACATTGTGCGATAATAAATGAAAAAAAAAACATATGCGTGCCGACTATTTCAAACGTTCCCACGACCACTAGTGTACTCGTAGCTGTTAGCGTTTAAAAGCAGGCGCACTCCATGGCACACGGCGACCAAATGACCAAAACATAAATGCCGCGCAGTGGCAAGACTCGGTCAGAACGCGGAGCTTAACATTCGGAAAAACGGAAAATGCCGATGGTCAATTGCTTTGTAAAGTGCGGGACTGGGTAAGCGGGCCGTAAGTTGACGCAAGGGGCCAGCTGGCGCACGCAACCAACTATTGTGTTCCTCAGTTGGTCAACAGCTGAGCGGAGTATTTAAATAAAGTGGGTTGCGGAAAGGATGGGACCTACATACATACAAAATTAGTGTGAAAATTCTTGTGAACGGCACATTTGTACGTAGGCATTATTTATATGCACGTAGGTGTGTACAATGTATTTAAAAATACTAAACATAGTACTTTATGTAGATGACGAAATTATGAAGTGTACTTCCAACTTTATAAAAAGAACAATGAACATTAGTCTAGGTCGGCAAACAATTTTTGAAACAACCACATTTGCAAAAGAAACTGCGCATAAAACTATGCCGCTAAAGCTTGAACAATTTATAATTTTTTTTTAAGCGCTTAAGCAGGGATCATACGATTTGTATATTTGTACAAATTTGGGACTTTTTACAGTTACAGACTGGGGTTTTTGGATTTTTTTATTGAGCTGAACTCATTCTCTATACAAATTTCTAGTCATCGGACGCACAATTCCGTTTGGCTTACAACTGTCTGTAAACTGGTTGGATAGGGCGTCGTTGTTGAAGATGGGGAAGGATGCAATAGGCTTGTGTGGTTATAGACTCGTATTAAACGGTGGAGGATTTGCCGAAACTTCTTTTAAATTCGTCTTACTTTGTGTTTGAAAATAATATTGCGGGCAAATATCAAGTTTTAAAATAACAAAAAAAAAAAAAAACGCCGCAACATGTAAACTTAATTTTGGGTCGTAATTTACGGATCTGTATACCGTTTTCTAGATCAGGTAATGGCGCATTTACATGGTATGAAGCCATATGAACTGTTGATACGCTAAAATAGAGGGACTACATGTTCTAATGAGGAATTCAATGATATCGAGTGGGATGCATATAATAAATTTTTTCATATGAAAAGTTATGGGGAGATACTGTAAACATACTGTTGTGATACTGTTAAGCATATGAAATTATAGCAAGTTGAATTTTCATACATCTTCCCATAAAAAGTTTAACAGATGCAGAGATACCAAGGGGGGTTTTTCCCATTTTGATGCCTTTTTAATATAAAAACCCACCGAAAAGGAGGAAAGCGGCAACTCCGCCATTCACATACATGTCAAAAGTATGAATTTAAAAATTAAAAACAATAAACAAACAAATTCAAAACAAAGAAATTCTTTGTACTAGAACTTTTTAAATTGAAGCCACTCACGTTTAGTGGACAATAAAAATACGAAGAACTATGATAACAAACTTACAACAAGACATTACAGAACATTTTAATGAGCTTTATATCACGTTTAAGTAACAATAAGCCTATATTTTCAAAGCTGTCAAAGAAATGAAAATTTGTATTTTTTGTTGTTTACACAAAGCCTTGCCAAATATACATATAAGTCAAAATTATAGAAGGCATGTATACTTCTCCCTTTCATTTTTTCATACAGTTTATGCTTCTTTCTGGCTTTTACAAAAATGCAGGGATACCGCACTTATTTCGGTACAATATGATCGTAATGTATTTTCAATTCGAAATCAAACAAAAACATCCCACGAAAATGTTTGCGATTTTAGAACCATTAGTGAATATTTGCAAACTACTGCAAATAATAGAGTGCCATATCTTACAAAGTTCAGAGTATTAACGAAACAAACAAGCATTTTATGGCTTTATGTTTCCTTCAAACCGCATTGCTATTTTTTCTAGCTTTTCCTTTTGTTTAGCGCTGTAATGTATTAAGTTATATCTTTTAATTTATACATGTGAACTATTTTCAATGTGGATTTTTCCATTTGCTCCAGAATTTTGGGTACATTTTCTTATAGTACCTCTCATTCCTTTTTTATATTACATATATGTAAGCTTTGCATAATATTCTGTTTAGTTAAGTTGGGTATATGCGAATGCACCTTATGTAAAGCAACACGACGATACGAAGAAGTGGGAAGAGAATGGAAAAGAAAGGTGCTAGAACAAGTCAATAAAATTTCTGGATATGTCAAAGTAAGCTGAGCACATGTGAATTGTGTAAATTAAAGTAAAATCATCTATTTTAATTAAACATTGAAGTAATTATACTATTAAATATAATTTATTAATGAATTGAAGTTGTGAATACTTTGCCAATCGAAATATTTAGTACTGGAAGTAAAAAACCTTAATTGTTGATTCTTCTGTTTTAGGTTAGTTGATCACATGTGAATTTTGTAAATTTTAATAAAAACTTCTGTTTTAGATGAATACAATTGTTTGATTACTCCTAAATTTCGAACATATTATATATATACACTCCGAAGTTCGGGATAGTATTTTGAATATACCAGGAATATACATATGTAAAAGTAGTGGCGGCTGCTGTAGAGCATTACGCAGAGCCTGAGTTCAAGCCCAGTTTTTCTAATAGTGGTTGCCCCTCTGTTGGTAATAGTAAACCTCCGAGTGTATTCTGTCATGGAAACAACTTCTCATTAAAATACAATTGCCGTTCGGAGTCGGCGTAAAGCTGTCCTTTACTTTGTGTGACAAAATCACGCACGCCGAATATCGGAGGAGAAGCTAGGCCAAACACTAACATATTGTTCAAGCGATATACATATTCGTCGTTTAAAGTACAATATCGATATAATAAAATATCGACTTAGACATAAGGAGAGAAGATTGTTAAGTTTAAAAGAGAGAACAGTTTTTAATTGGGACCAGTTTCACTCTCTCCTATAAAATTTAGGCAACCTCCCATACGAGGTTTTGCATTTCCTTGATGCGCGGTTTTGTGCTTTAAACGAAGATATGTAGAAGTATTGCATACATATTTTGGTGCCTTTTCAAGTATAAAATCCACTGAGAAACGGAAGAAAACGGCATCCCTATGATTTCAACTTATGCCAAACGTTTCGTAAACAAGCAATTCTGAACAAAAAACTGTTTTTCCACAAAGATGTTTAAATGGAAGCATTACAAATATGGAAAAATAGCAATCCACAAGGCTTTATTGGCAGTAGGTCATTTTTAAAGCACATTTAACAAAAAAATAAGCTTCTAGCTTCGAAGCTAGCACAAAATAAAATTTTTTTATTTGCTGTTTACAAAAAAAATATTGTCTGGTATACAATTCAAAATTGCTAAATATATATCGCTTTCATTCATTTCTTCATAGAGTTGGTGCTTCTTTTATAGGAGAATTCATACGGCTTATGAACAGATTCATACCATATAAATGCACCATAATTCTTTCAAGATTGTATAATTTTAAGTTTGTATTGTGAATGAAAAACAATTCTAACTTTAACAGAGAAAAAAATAACAGATATGACCGTAAAGGTACATAGTCGTACATGGCGTATGAGTAACATTTTTCTGCTCATATTTCATTTAAAAAATCATTGCGTATTTTCGTTACCTCGGCCGAATAACGCAAAACTCTTAGCGTGAAGAGCAATTGTTTTATGAGGCTCTACTCGTAGACTGTGCTCTTATAAGGGTTTTAAAAGACTCTGCACGCAAGCATATTTTTATAGCCTCTTCCTTTATTCTGTTTTCTCTTCCATTTCATGATTAGTGCAAAACCTCTACAAATTTATAGTTTTAGATCTCTATTGCCGTTCTTCATTCAGAGCAATTACTTAGTCAGCAGCAAGCAAACTTATATAGTTATATCAATTCTAATTTTTAGAGAAATTGCGCATTCTCTTTTCAGAGTAGGATTTGTCTCCAATAAGATCATCATCATAGATAAGAAAAAAGCTTTGTTTTTAAATACATACATACATTTTTCTGCGGAGATTAATTACACAGGGTAGCACTCATTTTGGTGCCACGTATATTTATGCTGTTTTTTATATACTTTTTTGTACTGAGTACGAATCCGTAAGTATAAAGTTTCCATCAGCTCCAGATTTGAGTCCTTTATTTAACAATAAAAAGATACAAGGGAATTGTGCCCTTGAAAAAAAAAAATGTTTGCCAAAATCAGGTTGAGCTGTTCAATAAATGACTAAAATCGACCTTAGGGCCAACGTGCCTAAGTGAAAGGTTCTATCACCTGTTGTTTAATTGCGGTAGGTACTCAAACTTCGCCAACATCAGTTTTCGCTATTCAACAAATGACTACAAGCGACCATCAAGTCAAGGTGTAGGAATGGAATTTTCAGGGATAGTAGTCGAGAGTTCTAGCTTTAATATAAGCCTAAGTGGAAGGATCTATAATCTTATGTTTCATTCGTAGAGCTTCTAAAATATTGGGAAGAGCGCGATTTTTTGACACTTTGAACTCGTTTTTCTCAAAATCTGGAGCTGATGGAAACTTTGTAATCAGTCTACCAAGGACAGCTATAACAATTTCCGCAAAAAAATTTGTTCCCATTTTTGTTGGATGGTGTTATTTTTCCACTTCGTGAAGTTGGATTCTTCTTCAAGGAGAACGTGAACACTCTTTATCCATATCATTTCTGACTTTAATAGATAATGAAAGAAGGAATACTCTATTTAAAGCCCTTCACGTAGACTATCTTCAACTCAATTCAATTGATTGATGATATATTAGTACAACTTGATACAAGGATCTATTATATTTGCATTTTTATACCCGCTTACCACTTGAGCATTTTGTACAACCTTTTCTTTTCAAAGAATAAATACTCTATGCACCGCTCTTCACGTAAACTGTTTTTGATTTTTATATACAAATTGATTTTATAAGTGGCTTTGGATAGAGTTCTGGCTGTAGCGCCATATAGTTTTTTCCGTTTTACATTTTTTCGGAATCTTGATTATAGAAAATAATTCATTCTTGTGTTATTTATATTGAATGTCACCTTTTCACAGATTTTTTTATGATTATTTTATAAAGCAAAATGATAGAG